CTGGGGCTGGCGTGACCTGGGAGCAGAGCTGGCAGAGGGCTGTGGACCAAGAGGAGGGCTTTTTGGAGAATCCAGAGGCCCTTTTGCCCGCTCCCTTTCTCAGCTGAACCCCTGCCCTTGGAGCCCCCAGCAGGGCCCTTGGAGGCGGAGGCCGAGCACCTGCGGAAGGAGCTGGAGAATCTGGTAGGGCCGCTCTAAGCTCAGGTGCAAGCCAGTAAGGGATTAGTCGCCTGAACCCGGAGCCGGAGGAGAGCCTGCGGGGGCCGGAGCAGGAGGAGAGGCTGCCGGAGCAGGAGGAGAGGCTGCGGGGGCCGGAGCAGGAGAGGCTGCCGGAGCAGGAGGAGAGGCTGCGGGAGCCGGAGCAGGAGGAGAGGCTGCCGGAGCTGGAGCAGAAGGCTGAGCTCTGGGAGGAGCAGGGGGAGGCTGCAGGCGAACCGCTCACCACGAACGCACCACAGCCGCGTGCTCTCCCAGAACCCCGAGCTCCAGGAGCAGTTGTCACAGCTGAAGGAGCCGGTGATCCCCGCCCCCACCAAGAAGGGCTGGGAGGCAGGCACCAGCCTCTGGGGAGGGGAGGTGCCAGGCCAGAAGCAACTCCAGCCTGGGGAACAGGGAACCCCAGCACCCTCCAGGGCAGTGCTGTGACTCTTTCTTGCTTCCTGCCCTGACTTTTAGGGGTGGGTAGCCCTGGGTTCCTCCCAGGTCTGGACATCATCATCCTAGCTAGAGGCATGGAGCCCCCTAATTATGGGGAAAGAGACAGTGGTATAAGAGGCTCCTTAAGGCAGGGCATGCTGGCACAGGCCTGTAGTCCCAGCTAGTTGGGAGGCTGAGGCAGGAGAATTGCTAGAACCCGGGAGGTGGAGGTTGCAGTGAGCTGAGATTGTGCCACTGCAGTCTAGCCCGGGTGGGGGGAAGAAGTGAGACTCTGTCTCAAAAAAAAAAAAAAAAAAGGGCGCTTTAAGCTGGGTGTGGTGGCTCATGCCTGTAATCCCCAGCACTTTGGGAGGCTGGGGGGAGAATCCCTTGAGGTCAGGAGTTTGAGACCAGGCTGGCCAACACGGCAAAACCACGTCTGTACTAAAAATACACACACACACACACACACACACACACACACACACTAGCTGGACATGGCGGCACACGCCAGTAGTCCCAGCTACTCGGGAGGCTGAGGCAAGAGAATTGCTTGAAGGCTGAGGCAAGAGAATTGCTTGAACCGGGGAGGTGGAGGTTGCAGTGAGCTGAGATTGTGCCACTGCACTCCAGCCTGGGTGACAGAGCAAGACTCCATCTCAAAAGGAAAAAAGAAAAAAGTTATGGAAAAAACTTATGAAAAAAAGGTATGGGATAAAAATAAAAATAAGGCTGGGCACAGTGGCTCATGCCTGTAATCTCAGCACTTTGGGAGGCTGAGGTTGAGGGATCACTTGAGGTCAGGAATTCCAGACCAGCCTGGCCAACATGGTAAAACCCCATCTGTACTAAAAATACAAAAATTAGCTGGGCATGGTGGTGCTTGCCTGTAATCCCAGTTACTGGAAAGGGTGACACAGGAGAATCCCTTGAACCCGGGAGGCAGAGGTTAAAGTGAGCAGAGATCGTGACACTACTCCCGCCTGGGTAACAGCAACAAAACTGTCTCAAACCAACAACAACAACATAAAGGCAGGGCACTGTGGCTCACACCTGTAATCCCAGCAGTTTGGGAAGCTGAGGCAAATGGATCACAAGGTCAGGAGTTTGAAACCAACCTGGCCAATATGGTGAAACCCCATCTCTACTAAAAATACAAAAAAAAAATAGATGGGCATGGTGGTGCATGACTGTATTCCCAGCTATTTGTGAGGCTGAGGCAGGAGAATCACTTGAACCCAGGGGGCAGAGGTTGCAGTGAGCAGAGGTCATGCCACTGACTCCAGCCTGGGCATCAGAGCGAGACTCCATCTCAAAAAATAAAAATAAAAGTAGGTCACCATCGGCAAAGGCTGGAAAAATGGGGCAGGAGCCCACCATGTCCCTACCACCCCTTCCCAGTCACCCCTTCACCCTGAGAGTAGCAAGACAAGACCCCTGACTAATGGGGGGAGACAAACAGACCCTTTGTCACCTTGGCCAGGGCTGAGTTTTTAAATTTCTGGATGATGATGATTGTTATTTACAAGCCAGAGGCTGATGGAGTTGGTTTGTTTGGGGGAGACCTGATGACCTCCTTACTCTCACCAAAGCAACTTTTCCCTCAGGGGGCTCCCATCCTCTTACTCAGAGTGGCAGCTGAGGCAGGACAGGGGCTAACTGTGGACCAGGTGAGGGCACGGGCTGCTGGGGGTGGCTCCCCTTCCTCCGTGCACATATTGTATCTGTGTAACATTTTGTATATTCCAGGGCTAGGGCCGCCCCCCCCGTATCATAACTAGCAGACGTTGGAGCTGGCACATGGGGAGGAGGGTCTCATAAATTTTTGCGGCTGGAAAACTGGCATTTGAATCAGTACACTGAGTAAGGAAGATCTGCCTCACCCAGGGCGAATGGTACCATCCCATCAGCTGAGCACCCAGATAGAGCAAAAGGGCAGAGAAAAGGTGAATTTTCTCTCCCTCTCTTCTGAGCTGGGAGACCCTTCTTTGATCATACACACACACACACACACACACACACACACTCACACACACATTATATATATATATATAAAATCCTCCTCTCGGCCACTCCCTTCAGCACCTTCTCAAATGTATATATTTGGGAGAGATGAGACCCCTGTACCAGGGTTGGTCTGTCTGACCAAGAGCATATGGCAGCAATGATGGTACATCATGTCCCAGGTTAGCTTGCAGCTTCTGCTTCTTTGTCTCCTAATCACTCACCCGGGGGAGCCACTGCCATGTTGTGAGGAGAGGCTGCACGTGAGAAAACAGCCACACGAGGGAGCTTGAGATCGGATGGTCCAGCCCCAGTCAAGCCTTCAGATAACCGTAGTCCCAGCAAGTGTGTAGACTGCAACCTTGTGAGCACCCTTCAATTAGAGATGCTCGCCTAGGCTGTTCCAGATTCCTCACCAACAGAAATGATAAAATAATTTTTCTGAGACAGGGTTTTGTTCTGTCTTCCAGGCTAGAGTGCAGTGGTGCCATCGTGGCTTAATGCAGCCTCAGTCTCTCCAGGCTCAAGACATCCTCTTACCTCAGCCTCCTTAGGTAGCTGGGACTACATGTACACACCACAAAGTGCAGCTGATTTTTAATAGAGATGAGTCCTTGCCATGTTGCCCAGGCTGGTCTTCAGGTCTTCTTCTGGGCTCAAGCAATTGTCCCACCTCAGCTTCCCAAAGTGCTGGGATTACAGGCATAGGTCACCACACTCAGCAAATGTTTCTTTGTTTGTTTGTGACAGCGTTTCGCTCTTGTTGCCCAGGCTGGAATGCAATGGCACAGTCTTGGCTCACCACAACCTCCGCCTCCCAGATTGAAGCAATTCTCCTGCCTCAGCCTCCTGAGTAGCTGGGATTATGGCATGCACCATCACACCCAGCTAATTTTGTATTTTTAGTAGAGACAGGGTTTCTCCATATTGGTCAGGCTGGTCTCCAACTCCTGACTTTAGGTGATGTGTCCACCTCAGCCTCCCAAAGTGCTGGGATTACAGGCATGAGCCGCCATGCCCGGCCAAATATTTGTTTTTGTTTTGTTTTTTGAGACAGACTCTCGCACTGTTTCCCAGGCTGGAGTGCAGTAGTGCCATCTCAGCTCACTGCAACCTCCGCCTCCTGGGTTCAAGCGATTCTCCTGCCTCAGTCTCCTGAGTAGCTCAGATTATAGGTGCCAGCCACCACACCCAGCTAATTTTTGTATTTTTAGTAGAGTCAGGGTTTCACCATGTTGGTCAGACTGGTCTCAAACTCCTGACCTCATGATCCACCCAAAGTGCTGGGATTACAGGCATGAGCCACCTTGCCCGGCCAAATGTTTGGCTTTCTAATGCAATAAATTTTGGGGTAGTTTGTTACACAGCAATAGATAATGACAGACTCTCTCTTTAAAAAAAACTAGCACCTGCTGGAGTCTTTATTTTCGTGCTCGTTGAAGTCCTTTCACAGTTTCTCCTTGTTCCTCTAATCTTCCTCTCGGCCACGCCCTTCAGCACCCAACCCCCAACAGGTCATGGTTCCCACGTACGTGGCCACTGGAGATACATGGTTGGTGTCCTGCGCTGACCACTCTTGTCAGGAGACCAAGCTTCCTTTCCTCCCTCCCTACACACCTGATCATGGTCAACAAGGCGCTGAGCGAACAAGGTGAGGCAGAAGGAACAGAAGCTGGAGAGAGCAGCAGGGACTAGCCACCAGCGAGATTCTGTGACTCTCCATCTCCCCGCATCCCAGTCCCAGAGTGAAGAGTCATCTTCATGATCTCCCTGATGGCGAAATGCCAGAAAGACTTACCCAGGGGCCTGAAGATGCCTTCAGTTCTCCAGGTCCTGAACTCTGTTCCAGTCACAGGAGGCCTGGCAATCCCGAGGTTTCCTGAGTGTTCCTTGTTCCTGAGCTCCTCTGAGATTTCCACTTTCCTCATTTTCATCTAAATCTAACTACATCTAACTGCCTCTGCTAACCAGACATTTGTTCCTAGTGGACAGAGTTTCCCGAAATGCTGTGTGGTTATCTTGCAGATGACTACAGTTATATAGCCAAATAACTAAGATCTCACTGGCTATACTGGAACAGGACTATTCTGGAACAAATTACCCCAAAATGTATTGGTTTTAAAAAAAACAAACATTTGGCTGGGCGCGGTGGCTCACGCCTGTAATCCCAACACTTTGGGAGGCTGAGGCGGGCGG